GAGGACTGCCCTTGAGAGAACAGCTCTGAGAGAACTTGTGACCAGTGTTCCCTCTAAGTTGAGTTAGTGTGAGCTAGCTCACAGTTTTTTAGCCTCCGGCTCACACATTTTTGTCTCGGCTCAGGAAGGGATGGCTCCAGAGCGAACTAATTTATGCAGTAGCCAAATCGCTCGCTTACAGCTTTGATGCCAGCAGCTCACAAAGTAGAATTTTTGCTCACAAGACTCCACAGCTTAGAGGGAGCATCGCCTGTGAGGCAGGCGGGGCTGAGAGAGCTCTGACAGAAACTGCCCTTTCAAGGACAGCTCTGACAGAACTATGGCTTGCCGAAGGTCATCCAGCAGCAAGTGGAGGAGTGGGGAATCAAACCCAGTTCTCCCAGATTACAGTCCGAGCACTTAACCACTACACCAAACTGTCTCACTATGGTGAGCATAACAGGGAAACACCGAACTGGCTTTGGAAGGTGGGAACATCGGCCCTCCCAACTCCAACCACTGCTGCCCTCCCTCTCTCCTTTCCCCCTCTGCTACCACAAGTTCTCAACCCCAGTGCCCAAATCTCCCCCTTCCTTACAAGAGCCAGTTTGGTATAGTGCTTAGAAGCGCAGACTTCTAATCTGTGAGAACTGTGTTGGATTCCCCACTCTTCCACATGCAGCTGCTGGTGTGACCTTGGGTCAGTCACAAGCAATGTTCCCTCTAAGCTATGGAGTCCTGTGAGCAAAAATTCTACTCTGTGAGCGACCGGCATTAAAGTTGTGAGCAAGCAATTTGGTTACTGCATAAATTAGTTTGCTCTGGAGCCCTCCCTTCCTGAGCTAAGACAAAAATGGGTGAGCCAGAGGCTAAAAAACTGTGAGCTAGCTCACACTAACTCAGCTTAGAGGGAACACTGACTGGCATTAAAGTTGTGAGCGAGCGATTTGGCTACTGCATAAATTAGTTTGCTCTGGAGCCCCCCTTCCCAAGCCAAGACAAAAAAGTGTGAGCCGGAGGCTAAAAAACTGTGAGCTAGCTCACACTAACTCAACTTAGAGGGAACACTGGTCACAAGTTCTCTCAGAGCTGTTCTCTCAAGGGCAGTCCTCGAAAGAGCTCTCTCCGCCCCACCTACCTCACAAGGTGTCCGTTGTGGGGTGGGGAACGGAGATTGTGAGCCGCTCTGGGACTCCTTTGGGTAGTGAAGGGTGGGGTATGAATCCAATCGCTTCTTCCTTTACACACACACTCCTTCGCACAATACACACATCAGAGCAGGAACATTCAAACTAACAATCAAGTGCAAGTAAGTAGCCGAGACTATACAGAAGCCAGAGTGGCTCGGGAAAGCCCTGTTTTGCTTTCTAAGGCAAAGATGACCTCCCCTGCACTCATACACACATCAGTGCCTTTTACGGTCAGGCATCTGAGAGATCTAAGCCATGTTTTTTTACCACTCAAAGTCTGGGAAATAAACAGAGACAGATACACTACTGCCTGTGGCCATTGCTATGGCCTCTGGCAGCGAATTCCGCATTTTAATCACTTGCAGTGTGAAGAAATGTCTCCTTTAGGACAGACAAAAGGGAATGTTTCTTTACACAAGGAGTGATTAAAAGGTGGAATTGGCTGCCAGAGGATGTCCTGATGACTGCAGGCATAGATGGCTTTAAAACAGGCTTAAGACGGATTCACGGTGGAGAGGCCAATCGGGGGCTACTGGCCACGCTGTCTAAAGGGAACCCCATGTTCAGTGGCAGCAAACCTCTGAATACCAGTGCCAGAAGGAAACATCAAGGGAAGGCCTTGCCCTCTATGCCCTGTTGTTGGCCCTCCAGAGGAACTGCTTGGCCCCTGTGTGAGACAGGATGCTGGACTAGATAGACCATTGGTCTGATCCAGCAAGGCTCTTCTGAGGTTCTTATGAAGGCCTTGGCCTCTATGCCTTGCTGTTGGCCCTCCAGAGGAACTGCTTGGCCCCTGTGTGAGACAGGATGCTGGACTAGATGGACCACTGGTCTGATCCAGCAGGGCTCTTGTGACGTTCTTATGAAGGCCTCGGCCTCTATGCCCCGTTACTGGCCCTCCATGGCTGGCCACTGTGGGACACAGGATGCTGGACGAGACAGAACAATGGTCTGATCCAGCAAGGCTCTTCTGAGGTTCTTATGAAGGCCTTGGCCTCTATGCCTTGCTGTTGGCCCTCCAGAGGAACTGCTTGGCCCCTGTGTGAGACAGGATGCTGGACTAGATGGACCACTGGTCTGATCCAGCAGGGCTCTTGTGACGTTCTTATGAAGGCCTCGGCCTCTATGCCCCGTTACTGGCCCTCCATGGCTGGCCACTGTGGGACACAGGATGCTGGACGAGACAGAACAATGGTCTGATCCAGCAAGGCTCTTCTTATGTTCTTTCACTCATTAGCGAAAAGTCTAAACTCTGGTCCTTGCCAGGCACCCTCTGTGCTGCTCTTACACCCTGCAAATGTCAAAGGATCCCCTGCTTTTAACAGCCATCTGGCAGCGGATCTTCAGGGGCGTCCGGGGTCAGGCCAGTAATTTCGGAACAGTACACACTGCCTGCCTCCAAAGAAAGGAAACGAACACCCAAGAAATGAAGACAGACTCGGAGCCAAGCAAGGAAGGGGGGGCTACTCACCGGGAGTACCAGCATGCCGTAGTGCTGGGGATCTTTTTCGGCGTTCATCTGTTGCAGGGGGAACTCCAGAACCACCTTGCTGAGCACCTCCATCACTTCCTTCAGGCCAATGTTGTACGCGTACCTGGGGAAAAGAGACCAGGGCGTTATGCCACGTTCTCCGCTCTTGTGCACAGCTTGGATCGCTACCCACGACTGTGTGGGGGACCTGACCTGGACGGCCCAGGCTAGCTGTCAGTTATGCTGCCACTGTGGCTGGTGGAGGGGGAGGTGGGCTGGTTTGTGTCTTCTTTCAGGTCTGGTAGGTGTGGTTTCGCTTCTCAGCAGGGCTCTTTTTGTAGAAAAAGCCCAGCAGGAACTCATTAGCATAATAGGCCACACCCAACAGCAGGAACTCATTACCATATTGGGCCACACCCCTGACAGCACAGCTCATTAGCACATTAGGCCACACCCCCATGTTCCCAGAAGTGTGCTCATCCAGCCACACCCACGTTTTGCTTCTTATTCTGTTTACCTTGTTTGTGCTCAAAACCCAGGGCTTTTTTTGTAGCAGGAACTCCTTTGCATGTTAGGCCACACACCCCTAATGTAGCCAATCCTAATGAGTTCCTGCGGTTGGGTGTGGCCTATTATGCTAATGAGTTCCTGCTGGGCGCGGCCAACTCGGGAGCCAGCCGGAACTCCGTTCCTGTGTGTTCCTGCCCCAAAACAGCCCTGCTTCTCAGTATTCCTGTTATCGCCGCTTGACCTTGGTGTCTTGCTGCACTGCTTTCCCTTGGAATGTGAACCCGTTCGTTCTAGGAGCGCAAAGGCTTCTTTCCCAATTGGCTTTCAGCCCGTCGGGAGACCCTGCTTTGAGCCAGGCATCATGGACCCTTTCCCGCTTTTTGAATTAGTCCCGACACTGAATGTGTATGGATGACTTGCCTATCCTGGAGCAATAAACTGAAACTTCACTGAAAGCCTGTCGTTGCCTCCCGATTGCTGTAAGACTCTGACACTGGCCTGCTCTCGTCAGACCTCGGAAGCTAAGCAGGGTCGGCCCTGGTTGGTACTTGGATGGGAGACCACAGAGGCAGGCGATGGCAAACTACCCCTCTTATTCTCCTGCCTTGAAAACCCTACAGGGCCGCCTTAGGTTGGCTGCAACTTGATGGCAATTTCCACCACCACCATGCACACTGCTTTACTAAAATGGACAACCCTTTTCAACAGGAAGAAGAAGAAGAGGAAGAAGAGGAGGAGGAGGAGGAGGAGACTGGATTTATACCCCGTCCTTCACTCCTAGTCTCAGAGAGGCTTACAAAATTTCCCCCTCCCCACAACAGACACCCTGTGAGGTAGGTGGGGATTGAGAGAGCCCTCTCGAGGACTGCCCTTGAGAGAATAGCTCTGAGCGAATTTGTAACTGACCCACGGTCATACCAGCAGCTGAATGTGGAGGAGTGGGGAATCAAACCTGGTACTCCTAGATTAGAGTCAGTGTTCCTAACCACTACACCAAACTGGCTGTCTGCTGGATCAGACCACAGGTCCATCTAGTTCAGCATCCTGTCTCACACAGAGGCCAGCCAGTTCCTATGGAGGGCCAACAACAGGGCAGAGAGGCCAAGCCCTTAATAAGAACATAGGAAGAGCCCTGCTGGATCAGACCAGTGGTCCATCTAGTCCAGCCTCCTGTCTCACACAGTGGCCAACCAGTTCCTCTGGAGGGCCAACTACAGGGCATAGAGGCTGCGCCCTCAATAAGAACATCAGAAGAGCCCTGCTGGATCAGACCAGTGGTCCATCTAGTCCAGCATCCTGTCTCACACAGTGGCCAACCAGTTCCTCTGGAGGGCCAACAACAGGGCATAGAGGGTGAGGCCTTCATAATAATGTTAGAATAGCCCTGCTGGATCAGACCAGTGGTCCATCTAGTCCAGCATCCGGTCCCACACAGTGGTCACCAGTTCCTCTGGAGGTCCAACAACAGGACCAAGGCCTTCATTGGAACATCAGAAGAGCCCTGCTGGCTCAGACCAGTGGTCCATCTAGTCTAGCATCCTATCGTACACAGTGGCCAACCAGTTCCTCTGGAGGGCCAACAACACGGCATAGAGGCTGAGGCCTTTATAAGAATATCAGCCCTGCTGTGTCAGACCATTAGTCCATCTAGTCCATCATCCTCTCTCACACAGTGGCAAGCCATAGTTCTGTCAGAGCTGTCCTTGAAAAGGACAGTTTGGAAAGAGCTCTCTCAGCCCCACCGACCTCACAGGTTGTCTGTTGTGGGGAGGGGAAGGGAAAGGAGTTTGTGAACCTGTCTGAGACTCCTTTGGGTAGTGAAGGGCACGGGATAAATCCCATCTCTTCTTCTTCTCTCAGAGCTCTCTCAGCCCCACCTACCTCCCAGGGTGACTGTTGTGGGGAGGGGAAGGGAAAGGAGTTTGTAAGCCGCTCTGAGACTCCTTTGGGTAATGAAGGGCCGGTTATAAATCCAATATCTTCTTCTTCTTCTCGTCTACTGGGAGGGAGTCAGGCTAGACAGATACAGGTATGGCCCCCAGGCCCCTAAAGCTCAAAGGGATCGAGGGAGCGCTGCCTTACTTGAGAGAGTTGATCTCCAAAACCAGGTTGTCGCAGGAGATGTTCTCCTCTTCGCCCCGCTGCAACGTTCCCAGGACTTCATTCTGGAAGACTGGGATCAAAGCAACGACAAGTTGTTCAGGTCACAAGCAGGCAACGCCAGCACGCGTGGAAGGAAAGCTGGCACTCGCGATCGGCATCAGGCCCCAAATATGTGGGGGAGAAAGACCAAAACCCCATAGCCCAAGTGGGGTCTTTCTGTGTACTGAATTTTTCTCCCCCCCCCCCCTAGAAGGAATGTGGGAAGATGCCTGCAAGCAGAGCTAAAAGGTAGGTCCAGGAACTTCGGCTACTCACCTTTGATATCGTCCAGCTGAGGGGAAGCTGCCCGACTATCCGAATGCTCAGACCCCAGACTCACGTCGCTTTCCGACTCGTTCTCTTCTTCCGCGCTTAAAACGGGGCCTAGAAGAAGAGTTGGGTTTTATACTCTGCTTGACTCTACCCTAAGGAGTCTCAAAGTGGCTTACAATTGTTGGTGTATAAGTTTCAGCACCTAGATCTCCAGGATCTACTTGACAGCTGGACTGGGCAGAGCTGAGGCACAGTCAGTATGAGTCAGCAATGTTCTGATTGGCTGGACATATCTATATATGTAGAAATGTACCATTGTACTTTCCCCCTTGATGGCGGATGGAGTCTGGCGAAGCACTTTGTCTGAGAGCTGTATATATTGTAAATAAATTCCTGTATATAGTTACCACTGGACTGAGTAAGTGTGGTTTACTATTGGAAGCCTCTGGTGAGAGAAAGACTGCTGTGAGCGCAGAACAGGTTCGAGGTGCTGGTTCACACAAACACACGCACTGTGCGACAACAATCACCTTCCCTTCCTCTCCTCACAACGGGCAGGTGGGGCTGAGCAGATCTGAGAGAACTGGGACGGGCCCAAAGGTCCCCCAGCTGGCTCCATGTGGAGGAGGAGTGGGGAATCAAACCCAGCCCTCCAGATTAGAGTCCGCCATGCTTAACCACTACACCATGCTGGCTCTAGGGCTGGAGCGGCTTACAGTCGTCTTTCTCTTCCTCTCCCCACAACAGGAACTCTCAGTCTGGGGCAAGTGATGCTCTGTAGACTTGGTGCCTGGTGGGGGGCAACAGTGGGAGGGCTCCTGGCCCCACTGGTGGACCTCCTGATGGCCCCTGGTATTTTTGGCCACTGTGTGACAGAGTGTTGGACTGGATGGGCCATTGGCCTGATCGAACGTTTGCTTCTCTTATGTTCTTATAGGAACTCTCAGTCTGGGGCAAGTGATGCTCTGTAGCCTTGGTGCCTGGTGGGGGGCAACAGTGGGAGGGCTCCTGGTGTCCTGGCCCCACTGGTGGACCTCCTGATGGCCCCTGGTCTTTTTGGCCACTGTGTGACACAGAGTGTTGGACTGGATGGGCCACTGGCCTGATCCAACATTGGCTTCTCTTATGTTCTTATAGGAACTCTCAGTCTGGGGCAAGCGATGTTCTGTAGCCTTGGTGCCTGGTGGGGGTCAACAGTGGGAGGGCTTCTAATGTCCTGACCCCACTGGTGGACCTCCTGATGGCCCCTGGTCTTTTTGGCCACTGTGTGACACAGAGTGTTGGACTGGATGGGCCTTTGGCCAGATCCAACATTGGCTTATGTTCTTATAGGAACTCTCAGTCTGGGGCAAGGGATGCTCTGTATCCTTGGGGCCTGGTGGGGGGCAACAAAGAAGGACTTCCTTTTATCCGTTCTAACCCGACCGCTCAGCAATTCCACGGAGTGCCCACAAGGAGTTCTTGTCTTGTGAGAAAGGGAGAGAGGCGCTTCTTTCTCTACCTGCTCTGTCCCATGATAGAGCATGCCGTTGTCCAACTGTGGTGGCATCCCGGCAACGGGTCCTCGCCTAACCCACCACCACCACCCCGCGGCCGAGCTCCTCACCCCACAGGCTCTGCCTCTGCTCCTCCTCGTCCACGTCGTTCTTGCTGTCTGCTTTCCAGAGGTAGCCTCTGCCTTCGGAGCCGACTTCTGCTGCGTTGTAACCTAGAAGGGGATGGCAGCAACGTTAGACTGGTCTGGCCTCAGGGCAGGCGGGTCCGAACGATGACGTATTGATTTGGGTAGTGCAATAAGAAGGGTGCCGATGCACCTCGTGAGCTAAGACTCATAGAACTGGAAAGTACTAGCCCAACCCCCTGCACAGTGCGGGAAATTCACAAATACCTCCCCCCTCCCCAACCCCAGTGAACCCCTATTCCACCCCCATAAGATGACAAAAAAACCAACAACCCTCCAGGGTCCCAGGAGAGCCAGGTTGGTGCAGTGGCTAAGGGCGCGGACTCTAATCTGGGAGAACCGGCTTTGAATCCCCACGCCTCCTCATGCAGCTGCTGGTGTGACCTTGGGTCATTCACAAGTTCTCTCAGAGCTGTTCTCTCAAGGCCAGTTCTCAATCGAGCTCTCTCAGCCCCCACCGACCTCACAGGGTGTCTGTTGTGGGGAGGGGAAGGGAAAGGAGTTTGTGAGCCGCTCTGAGACACCTTCGGATAGTGAAGGGCGGGGTATAAATCCAATCTCTTCTTCTTCGCCATCAAGATTTTGGGAGTATGGCCCTGACCGTCAAAGCCCCGGCAAGCCCGATCTCGTCAGATCTCGGAAGCTAAGCAGGGACAATCCTGGAAAGTACTTGGAAGTTCTCTCACTGCAATCTCCAACAAAGCAACTCTGGAGTGTCGGGAGACCCTTAGGGAGATGGTGGGATTCGGCACGGTGTGTGTGTGTGTGTGTGTGTGTGTGTGTGTGTGACAAAGCCTCCGCAAGCCCCTAGCTAACTTAGACAGGCCCAAAGGTGCTCACATACCTTTTAGCTTCACCTTGCTCTCCTCTTTGTTCACGCCGGAATCGTCGCTGAACTGGTCGTCGTCTTCCTCTTCCTCATCCGTGGGATGTAAGGAGATTACGGTGCCTTCCGGAAGGACGATGTCGGGGCCCACCGCCACCTGGAAATTAAGCAACGTGGCTGCTCTAGCAAACACAAAATATCAAACTCTATTTTCCCAGACCACTCATGCAGGCAGACAATTACTCGATGAACAAACAGAAGCCCCCACAGGCAAGCCAAATAGTCAAGGCAGCGAAGAAAAAAGCCCACTGCATCATTTTGCGCTCTTGCATTTGCATTTATTTATTTACTAGGAAAAAGGCCCATTGTGGAAATAAATACAACGGCCTCTAGAAAGAGGCTCTGGGCGGGTGCCCCTGCCTTGGACACTCAGTGTCAATTTGCTGTGGCGACCTCAGCAGGGTATAATGACACAGAGCCCACCATTTTCTCCAGAGGAACTGATCTCTGCTACCTAAAGAACAGTTGTAATTTTGAGTGATCTCCAGCCGTCACCTGGAGATTGGACACATTTTACCTCAGAACAGCAAACTGTTTAGAATCTTAGAGGCAAAAGCCAATTAAGTCACATATGCAAACGACCTCTGTGTTCCGAGGCAAAGGCCAATGAGGCTGCATATGCAGATAACCTCTGTGTTCTGACTGGCTATGGGGGGGGGGAGGAACAGCAAACTGTTTAGAATGTTGGAGGCGAGACTCAAGCAATGCAGCCAGTGGATAGGGACAGATTCTGAGTGACACACCAGGGCGCCAACCAATTCCGGAGCGTGCGGAATGTTCTAGAGAAGTGCCACCACCATTCGGCTTTTATATATAAGGGAGATATCCTAAGAAGATGAGAAGAGCCCTGCTGGATCAGACCAAATGGCCCATCTAGTCAAGCGCCCTGTCTCTCCCAGTGGCCAAGCAGCTCCTCTGGAGGGCCAACGACAGGGCAGAGAGGCCGAGGCCTTCACAAGATGTTGCCTCCTGGCTCTGGGATTCAGAGGATTAGTGCCTCTAAAACTGGAGATTCCCTCAGTCACCATGGCTAGTAGCCATTGACAGACTTGTCCTCCACAAATCTATCTAATCCCCTTTTCAAGCTGCTTATTCCTGTGGCCATCATGACATCCTCTGGCAGTGAGTTCCACATTTGAATCACTCTTGCAACGACGTGGTCTTTCCTTTTGTCTGTCCTGAACCTACTGCCCATCAATTTCATTAGATGCCCTCAAGTTCTAGTGTTTGGGGAGAGGGGGAAAAGTTTCTCTTTCTCAACACTCTCCACCCCATGCATAATTTTATAAACCTTTGTCGTGCCCCCCCTCTTTTTCTAATCTGAAATGTCCGAGACTCTCCAGCAGGGGTTGGGGTTGGGTTTGTTCAACGGAATGTCATGGTGACCACAAGTCCAAAGCAGAATTGGCAGCTCTTCAAACTCACCTGGGAAGTGAGGACACAATGCGACTTCAGCGTTACCCCTTTCTTCACCTCGGCCTCGTCACAGACAATCGACTGCTGGATTTTCACCCGGTCTCCGACGCGGACGCCGTTCCAGAGGAACGCCCTGTCCAGAACGACCTCGTCGCCTGCCAAACACCGGCCAAAGCATTTAGAACTGAACGGCTGTTTCTTAACATTAAAACATTTCCTATATGTCCTCTTTGGTGTAGTGGTTAAGTGCGCGGACTCTAATCTGGGAGAACCGGGTTGGATCCCCCACTCCTCCACTTGCACCTGCTGATGTGACCGTGGGTCAGTCACAAGCTCTGGCACAGCTGTCCTTGAAAAGGAGCAGTTTGTGTCAGAGCTCTCTCAGCCCCCCCCACCTCACAGGGTGTCTGTTGTGGGGAGGGGAAGGGAAAGCAGTTTGTAAGCCGCTCTGAGACTCCAAGTGAAGGGTTGATGGGTCTGTTGTGGGGAGGGGAAGGGACAGGAGTTTGTAAACCGCTCTGAGACTCCAAGTGAAGGGCGGGGTATAAATCCAATCTCCTCCTCCTCCTCCTCCTCCTCCTCGGAAAGGGGAACTCAGGAGTGGTTTATGCAGGTCCTGACCTGGGTAGCCCGGGCAAGCCCGATCTCATCAGATCTTGGAAGCTAAGCAGGGCCGACCCTGGCAAGAACTTGGATGGGAGACCCGCCAAGGAATACCAGGGCCGCGATGCAATGGCAGGCCACTTCTCTGAATGTCCAAGTCCCAGTAGGAGTCGCCAGAAGTCCCATGACTTCCAGGCACAAATGTACATACACACAAACAAAAAAATAAAATACAAAGAATACCCCCCCCCAAAAAAAAGTGGTTTATGCAGAACCACCTATGGGTGTCAAACCTTGCTTCACTTTGCTCGCTCCGGTTGCCATGGTTGCTGGGGGGAGGGAATTCATACGGGGAGGGGAGTGGGGTACGTGTGATGGATGAGTGAGAACCTTTTGCTTTCAGGAGCCATAACTTTCCTTGGGCAAGCCGTAGTTCTGATAAGCGCTGTTCTTGAAAAAGAGCAGTTTCTATCAGAGCTCTCCCAGGTTTGAATCCCCACACCTCCACATGAAGCTGCTGGTGTGACCTTGGGTCAGTCACAAGTTCTCTCAGAGCTGTCCTCGAAAGGGCAGTTCTGTAAAGAGCTCTCTCAGCCCCACCGACCTCACAGGGTGTCTGCTGTGGGGAGGGGAAGGGAAAGGAGATTGTAAGCCGCTCTGAGACTCCTTTGGGTGGTGAAGGGCGGGGTATAAATCCAATCCGTGCGATGGTTACCTCGAGGTTAGACTACTGTAACGCTCTCTACATGGGGCTGCCTTTGTCGCAGATTTGGAAGCTGCAGCTAGTGCAGAATGCTACAGCCAGGCTGTTGATGGGTCTCCCTAGATGGGAGCACATCCGACCTGTGCTGGAAGCGCTGCACTGGCTGCCTATAGCTTTCCGAATTCGCTTCCAAGTGCTGGTATTTACCTTTAAAGCCCTATATGGCCAGGGTCCGACATACCTGAGGGACTGCCTTTCCCCATACATACCCCAGAGAGCACTACAGTCAGGGGCCCAACATCGATTAATGATTCCAGGCCTCAGGGAGGCCAGGCTTGTGGCAACCAGGGCCAGGGCCTTCTGAGTGGCAGCTCCTACCTGGTGGAACGAGCTCCCGGAGGAGATCAGGGCCCTGCAGGACCTCGCACAGTTCCGCAGGGCCTGCAAGACGGAGCTCTTCCGCCAGGCTTTTAATTAGGAGCCGCCGCCATCACTAGAGATGTGAAGGCCCAGAAAAAAAAGGGAAAATTCGGGGGGGAAACGGTTTTTTCCCTGAAACCTTTTTGTTTTTTTCTGGAAAATTGGAAAAATTGAAAAAAGAAAAGAAAAAAAATTGATTATGGAATGTTTTGTTTTAACATGATGACCAGGTGTTCAAATATTTTCCAAATCATTTCTAAAATATATATAGATGATATCAGATTGATCTAATTTCTGTGCACTGAGGACAAGCAAGTCCTAGGTTACAAACTGAACTCTCCAATGCAAGAACAAGATGCATTTCTTCCTTTAGGAGGTGCGATTGTCAGAAGAAAATTAAAAAGTTTCAGGGTTTTTTTTGCATATGGGTGGGTATTCTGTAATAATTGTTTGGATACACTATATTTTTAATATGCTAGTTGTGATAATTTCATGCCAAGTAAAAATGTCCATAGTCATATTTTATGTTCCTAAAGTAACAGAATGACTTTCAATCTAGAAAAGACAAAAGAAGTGCTAATGTAGCATTTTTTCAATTTTTCCGAAAATTTCCGTTTCCCCCCGAAAAAAACGGGGAAAAAACGGGTTTTTTTCCGAGCTTCAAAATTTCCGGAAATTTTACATCTATACCCACGACTAGGATTAAAATAAATGGTACGCTTACTGACCCTGATTCCCTTACACCGAGGCACAAGACAAGGCTGCCCCTTGTCCCCTTTACTATTCGCCCTAGCGGTTGAGCCATTAGCCGAGGCCATCAGAGAACACCCAGACATTACAGGTACTCAGCTAAGATCTAAAGAACATAAATCGGCACTCTTCGCTGATGATATGCTTCTGTATATCACTAAACCAATAACATCTCTCCCATCACTACACAAGCTGTTAGATTGCTTTAGTCTAATCTCAGGTCTAAAAATCAACGACAACAAATCGCAGGTACGACCGATACATCTAGATAAAACGGAGGAGGTGTTGATCAAAACACGATACAAATTCTACTGGGTGCCAAAAGCACTAAAATAATAAATAAATAAATAAATAAAATATCGTATGCGAAGGCCTGACGAGAGATCCCTCGGCTTGCCGAACTCACCTATCTTGCAGTCCAGGCCGACGACGCTGTTGGTGATGAAGCACTTGTTGCCGACACACGTCCCCCGCCCGATCAAGACGTTCTCCTCCAGCACGCTGCCGTGGCCCAGGCTCACCTCTGCCCCCCGGTAGATATTGTGGCGGGCGTGGGTGCAGCTCCGCCGCTCCTTGTCGCTGAAGTTCATCTCCGGAGTCAGCGGGTAAACCCAGCGCTGGAGGACGTCGGAGGACACGGCTTCGTACATCAGCAAGTTGGAGACAGGGGCGCCATACTCTTCTGAGGCCACGTGCAGGTGGATCTGGTTGCCCAGCACCTGGAGAAGAGTGGAGATTTAATAATGACCAGTGTTCCCTCTAAACTGAGTAAGCGTGAGCGAGCTCACAGTTTTTTAGCCTCTGGCTCACAAATTTCTGTCTTAGCTCAGGAAGGATGGCTCCAGAGCAGTGTTCCCTCTAAGCTGAGTAAGCATGAGCGAGCTCACAGCTTTTTAGCCTCTGGCTCACAAATTTCTGTCTTAGCTCAGGAAGGAGGGCTCCAGAGCAGTGTCCCCTCTAAGCTGAGTAAGCGTGAGCGAGCTCACAGTTTTTTAGCCTCCGGCTCACCCATTTTTGTCTCCGCTCAGGAAGGGTGGCTCCAGAGCAAACTGATTTATGCAGCAGCCAAGTTGCTTGCTCACGACCTTAATGCCAGGAGCTCACAAAGTAGAATTTTTGCTCACAAGACTCCACAGCTTAGAGGGAACATTGATAATGACATCGGAAAGCTGGAAGAAGTACAGAGGAGGGCCACCAAGATGATTAGGGGCTTGGAGCACCTCCCCGATGAGGAAAGGCTGAAGAGTCTGGGACTTTTCCGTTCAGAAGAGAGATGACGAACGGGAGACATGAGGTTTATAAAATTATGGACAGAGTGGAGAGAGCTGACAAAGACAACGTTTTTCTCCCTCTCCCAAAGGACTAATGCTCAAGGATAACAAACGAAGACGATGGGCGTCAGATTCAGGAAGGACAAAAGGAAATACTTTACTCAGCGAGTAAAATGTGGAATTCGCTGCCAGAGGAGGTGATGATGGCCACGGGAACAGACAGCTTTAAAAGGGGATTAGATAGCCATGGTGACTGAGGGGAAGCTCCGCATTCAGAGGCACTAACCCTCTGAATCCCAGAGCCAGGAGGCAACATCAGGGGAAGGCCTCGGCCTCAATGCCCTGTTGTTGGCCCTCCAGAGGAACTGGTCGGCCACTGTGTGAGACAGGATGCTGGGCTGGATGGACCACTGGTCTGATCCAGCAGGGCTCTGCTTATGTTCTTAGGAAGGCCTTGGCCTCTATGCCCTGTTGTTGGCCCTCCAGAGGAACTGGTTGGCCCCTGTGTGAGACAGGGTGCTGGCCTAGATGGACCACTGGCCTGATCCAGCAGGGCTCTTCTCGTGTTCTCATGAAGGCCCTGGCCTCTCTGCCCCTGTTGTTGGCCATCCAGAGGAACTGGCTGGCCCCTGTGTGAGACAGGATGCTGGACTAGATGGACCGCTGGTCTGATCCAGCAGTGCTCTTCTTGTGTTCCCATGAAGGCCTTACCCTCTATTCCCTGTTGTTGGCCCTCCAAAGGAACTGGCTGGCCCCTGTGTGAGACAGCATGCTGGACTAGATGGACCGCTGGTCTGATCCAGCAGGGCTCTTCTTGTGTTCCCATGAAGGCCTTACCCTCTATTCCCTGTTGTTGGCCCTCCAGAGGAACTGGCTGGCCACTGTGTGAGACAGGATGCTGGACTAGATGGACCACTGGTCTGATCCAGCAGGGCTCTTCTTGTGTTCCCATGAAGGCCTCGGCCTCTATGCCCTGTTGTTGGACCTCCAGAGGAACTGGCTGACCACCGTGTGAGGCAGGATGGAACCTGGTATTTTTGGCCACTGTGTGACAGAGTGTTGGACTGGACAGGCCACTGGCCTGATCCACATTGGCTTCTCTTATGTTCTTATATCTGGGGCAAGTGATGCTCTGTATTCTTAGTGCTTGGGGGGCAAGAGTGGGAGGGCTTCTACTGTCCTGGCCCTACTGCTGGACCTCCTGAGGGCACCTGGTCTTTTTGGCCACTGTGTGACCCAGAGTGTTGGACTGGACGGGCCATTGGCCTGATCCAACGCTGGCTTCTCTTATGTTCTTATTTCTTTCCCTGCTTTTCTATCACATAAGGTAAACACAGCTGAGCCAAGGATGTGTCACCCAATATGAAGCTACAATCACAGAATGGTTTACTGATTAGCATTTATTTAGGCCGGTGCCCTTTAACCTTTCGGGCTCACGAGCCTCCTTCAACCCCTGGTGGCAGGGTGGGAACCCACTGAGCTGCAAGCATGCCACACAAGAGTGACAGGAAGAGGGCGTTATCACCTCAGCAGAGAAAAGGGAGGTTCCATGCTTGCATGGAGCAATGGAGGACTTGGTAGAATGTAAGCAGGCTGTGTTAGGGAAGAAACAGAGGGCAAAGCAGAGCTTTCGTGGGGAGGAGCATTTCTGAACCTGCAGGCACCAGAAAGGAACCCTCTGCACTGCTGAGTGACCAGAGACCGTGGCGGCAGCAGGGCAGAATGGAACTCGGGAACATAAGAACCTAAGAGAAGCCAACGTTGGATCAGGCCAGTGGCCCGTCCAGTCCAACACTCTGTGTCACACAGTGGCCAAAAATACCAGGTGCCATCAGGAGGTCCACCAGTGGGGCCAGGACACAAGAAGCCCTCCCACTGTTGCCCCCCCAAGCACCAAGAATACAGAGCATCCCTTGCCCCAGACTGAGAGTTCCTATCTATGCCTTGTGGTTAATAGCCACTGATGGACCTCTGCTCCCTATGCTTATCATAAGAACATAGGAGAAGCCAATGTTGGATCAGGCCAAAGGCCCATCCAGTCCAACACTCTGTGTCACACAGTGGCCAAAAAGACCAGGTGCCACCAGGAGGTCCAGCAGCGGGGCCAGGACACTAGAAGCCCTCCCACTGTTGCCCCCCCCAAGCACCAAGAATACAGAGCATCCCTTGCCCCAGACTGAGAGTTCCTATCTATGCCTTGTGGCTAATAGCCACTGATGGACCTCTGCTCCATAGGATTATCCAGTCCCCTCTTGAAGCTGTCTATGCTTGTAGCTGCCACCACCACCTCCTGTGGCACTGAATTCCACATGTTAATTACTCTCTTGGTGAAGAACGACTTCCAAGAGCCAGTTTGGTGTAGTGGTTCGGAGCGCGGACTCTAAACTGGAAGAACCGGGTTTGATTCCCCCACTCCTCCACATGCAGTTGCTGGTGTGACCGTGGGTTCAGTCACACAAGTTCTTTCAGTGCTGTTCTCTCAGGGGCAGTTTTCGGAAGAGCTCCTCAGCCCCTCCTCCCTCCCAGGGTGTCTGTTGTGGGGAGGGGAATGGAAAGGAGATTGTAAGCCGCTCTGAGACTCCTTTGGGTAGTGAAGGGCAGGGTATAAATCCAATCTCTTCTCTCTCCTCTTCTTCTTGAGAGCCAGTTTGGTGTAGTGGTTAAGTGCGCGGACTCTAATCTGAGAGAACCGGGTTTGATTCCCCACTCCTCCACTTGCACCTGGCTGGATGACCTTGGCCAAGCCGTAGTTCTGATAAGAGCTGTCCTTGAAAAAGAGCAGTTTCTGTCAGAGCTCTCTCAGCCCCACCTACCTCACAGGGTGTCTGTTGTGGGGAGGGGGAAGGGAAAGGAGTTTGTAAGCAGCTCTGAGACTCCTTTGGGTAGTGAAGGGCGGGGCATAAATCCAACCTCTTCTTCTTCTCCTTCTCTCTGTTCTAAGCCTATTGCCCATTAATTTCATTGAGTGCCCACGAGTTCTTATATTGTTTGGATGGGGCTGTGGCTCAGTGGGAGAGCATCTGCTTGGCATGCAGGAGGTCCCAGGTTCAGCCTCCGGCATCTCCAGTTAAAGGAACCAGGCAGCAAGTGAGGCCAGATACCTCTGCCTGAGACCCCGGAGAGCTGCTGCCAGCCTGAGCAGACAATAGTAACCCTGATGGACGGATGGTCTGATACAGTATAAGGAAGCTTCATGTGATCGTGTGAAAGAAGCCGTGGGCAGCCTGACAAGCTGCTAGCCTCCTCTGTCCTGCCAGTTTGGTGTAGTGGTTAAGTGCGCGGACTCTAACCTGGGAGAACCGGGTTTGATTCCCCACTCATCCTCCACATGCAGCTGCTGGAGTGACCTTGGGTCAGTCGCAAGTTCTCTCAGAGCTGTTATCTCAGGAGCAGTCCTCAAGAGAGCTCCTCAGCCCCACCTCCCTCCCAGGGTGTCTGTTGTGGGGAGGGGAATGGAAAGGAGATTGTAAGCCGCTCTGAGACTCCTTTGGGTAGTGAAGGGCAGGGTATAAATCCAATCTCTTCTCTCTCCTCTTCTTCTTGAGAGCCAGTTTGGTGTAGTGGTTAAGTGCGCGGACTCTAATCTGAGAGAACCGGGTTTGATTCCCCACTCCTCCACTTGCACCTGGCTGGATGACCTGGGGCAAGCCGTAGTTCTGATAAGAGCTGTCCTTGAAAAAGAGCCATTTCTGTCAGAGCTCTCTCAGCCCCACCTACCTCACAGGTAGGGAGGGGGAGGCGGAGGGAAAGGAGTTTGTAAGCCGCTCTGAGACTCCTTTGGATAGTGAAGGGCAGGGTATAAATCCAATCTCTTCTCTTCTTCTTCTTCTTCTCCTCTCCACACCTGCTTCCAGGCTACCATCCTCTGCCAGATCGCCTACCCTCTTCCCCTTTCCAGTTTGGTGTACTGGTTAGGAGCACGGACTCTAATCTGGGAGAACCGGGTTTGATTCCCCCACTCCTCCACTTGCACCTGCTGGATGCCCTTGGGCAAGCCATAGCTCTGTCAGAGCTGAAGGCTGTTCGTTGAAAAACAGCAGTTTCTGTCAGAGCTTGCTCAGCCCCACCTTCCTCACAGGGTGTCTGGGGAGGGGAGAGGAGTTTGTAAACCGCTCTGAGACACCTTCGGGTAGCGAAGGGAGGGGTATAAATCCAATCTCTTTTTCTTCTTTCCCAAGTCCTTGCCAAACTATTCCCAATTCGCAACGCTCAGAACTCCTGGCTCCCTACAACCCCAGTCCCAGCCTGTGCCCCTTCGGCGTACGGCTCCTTGATGCCCGACCTCACTGCCCCGCCCCTCTATGCTGGCTGGCGGATCCTCCCCAGCACCCGCTTACCTCCTCGTTCACCAGAAGGCCGCGCACAAAGTCATCCCGGGTCTGGTAGTCAAAGTTATCCGTGAACAGCTCGGCCACCTGCGAGAAGAGGAGAAGCCACAGTGAGGACTTATATATAATTCAAATGAATATTGTTTATTGAAACTACATAGATATAGCAAAATACTGATATCCTCACGGTAAATTGTTTATGGTTTATAGGTTCACTTTGTTTTTCACATTGTTAGATATGCTATTGAATGCCTATTGATAGTTTAGAGGGCAGAAGGCACTTTATTGAGTTAATAACAGCGAACAGAACAGGCTTTAATTAGAATACATTGTAAAAACGAGGTATTTTGTTCCAAAGTTTACTGAATTATACATCATTTTTCAATGCTTACATTTTTTATTCATATTGTACTGGTTAATATGTTTAACTGTTCTTTAGTTCATTATGGACTTGGCTAATGTTATAAAAATGTGATTGTTATGTTTTCTTAATACTATTGTATTATACCAATAAAATGTTATTGGGAGGGTGAAACCGAGTCAGAAGAGAAAGCGATTTCCTGAAGAGAGTTTTGGACATTCACACTGGTGATCTGGTGCTGTCATATATAGCCCTGAGCTGGACGGCCAGCAGGAACTCATTAGCATAATAGGTCATACCCAAAAGCAGGAACTCATTAGCATAATAGGCCACACCCCTGACAGCACAGCTCATTCGCATATTAGGCCACACCCCATGTTACCAGTAGCGTGGTCATCCAGCCACACCCACCTTTTGCTTCTTTTTATCTTGTTTGTTGTCAAAACCCAGGGGCTTTTTGCATGTTAGGCCACACACCCCTAATTGTAGCCAATCCTAATGCGTTCCTGCTGTTGGGTGTGGCCTATTATGCTAATGAGTTCCTGCTGGGCGTGGCCAACTTGGGAGCCAGCCGGAACTCCGTTCCTGCCACAAAATAGCCCTGCTCTGGGGATCTGGTGCTGTCATATATAGCCCTGAGCTGGACGGCCAGGGCTAGCCCGATCTCGTCACCTCAGAAGCGAAGTGGGGCTGGCCTTGGTTAGTACACGAATGAGACTCTTGAGAGTCCCCTGGACTGTGAGGAGATCCAATCCGTCAGTCCTAAAGGAAATTGACCCTGACTGTTCCCTGGAAGGCCAGATAATGAAACTGAAGCTCAAAGACTCTGGCCACCCAATGAGAAGGGAGCACTCCCTGGAGAAGACCCTGATGCTGGGAAAGATTGAAGGTCAAAGAAGACGGGGACGGCAAAGGGTGAGCTGGTTAGACAGTATCATAGATGCAACGAACATGAAATTGAGCAAACCCACCATGAGCCGGTTAGATCATCAGACCAGGACCCTTGAAGGCCCAGTTCTGAGCTTGTGCCTGTCCCAAGCGCTCAGCCTGGCCTGCCTCACAGGGTTGTTGTGAGAAAACGGAAGGGAAAGGGAACGATGCCCTGAGCCGTTTTGTGTCCCAACTGAGGAGAAAAGCAGGAGATAAATACATGCAAACGCATGAACAACTTTGTCCGGAACGTACCTGAGGCGAGCAGATGCTAATGTGGCAGTCCAGCAAATCATGCCGTACTTGGACTTCTTCTATGTTGCTCTGGAACAAGCTCTGGAAAGATGAGAGAAAAACCTGTGAAGACCATGCGACTGATTCCACCATCCTACTGACAGGGTGCGTTCAGGCGGGCTGTTTAGTTCGCTTTCGGCCCGCCTCAGAAACGGATTGTATCTGCGCGATCACACCGTCAACATCTGCCTCCCGTCCCCAGCCGTCGCTTTCCGGCTCAAAACCGCTTTCACCCGGGGTATTTTGATACCAGGTCCCCAAGTGGTGTTTTCCTGCTTCTCCGGTTCCAGACGCACTTTTCTGACGTCTGATCACTCCTCCGGTGTCGAGCCACTTCCGGTTTAAACCCCCTCCCCGCTCGAAAGCTGCCCGAGGCTTCCGCTTTTCACCCTCCATTTTTTAAAAAGCGTTGACGGTGTGCGCCTAGGCAGAGGTCCGCCACCACGCTATTAAAAACAATGTTTAAATGGTGCCTAGTTTTAGCCTTTAGACGAGTTCAGGATCTCACAGAGGCCATTTTCGGGGTAAACGTTTAAAGGGAAGTGTTCCTTTAAAGTTTAAAGGGAAGCGTTACAGCAGTTGGGTTGAAGCGGAAATCGCTGTTCTGCGCACGCGCAAAAATTTTAGTTCTACAGATGGCCGCCTGTGTGCATGCTCAATGTTAAATGATCCAGCAGTCTGTTGGCGTGAGTCAGCTTTATACATTTGGACGGGAGGCGCATGGGAGAGAGAAAAAACAGCGACGCACCCTCCCGCCTGCGGACGGCGGGGAGCGATGTGGCTGCGCAGCGATCCGGAGCAAGGAGGTGAGTGTGATCGCGATTCTCCAGGTTAAAAAAAACCCCGCATCGGGGCTGGAGCCGTTTAAACCGCTCCCGGCATGCTGTCTGACCGCACCCACAGTGTCAAGGGGAGGATCCAGACAGGATTCACTAAAAGGGCCACAAAAAGCCAGAGGACAATTGAGCATCGTCAGCGACCATTAACAGGGGAACAAATACCCAACAGACGAGGGAAGCCTGGGACCACGAAACCAATTAAGGACACTCCTCCTCAAGAGAGATCACAACCCCAACCAGAAACTGTGGCTGAGAAAATGCCAATTGCGCTATGTAGTGTTTTCTTAGTGCTGGACTGTGAAAGACCAACAATACACAGGAGTCAATAAAGCAGAGGGAGCCCAGAAGTCCCTGGAATGCTCCAGCACGGCCCCGGACCCTTTTGGGCTGGAGGCAGGAAAGGCTTGAACCCCCAACCGTAGAATGAGATATGATCGACCTGCATACGTTTCCAGAAACAGCTTTGCATATTATGCTGGAGGGCCAACAGAAGATTCGTGAGCTATCTATGCCTCCCGTCTAAATGTATAAAGCTGACTCACGCCAACAGACTGCTGGATCATTTAACTCAGCATCCGCCTGCTCTGACTGGCGGCTGCGTTCCACGGTCTCCGGCCAAAAAAAGGCTCTTCAAAAGTTCTGCAGCGTGAGACCCATTCAGGGAAAATGCCACCAATCTGACGCGGGACCTGATATGCACACCACTGAGCTATATATGTCTTCCTGAAGCTACTATGCCCTGCAGGCCCGTAGGCAGGATTTTGCGGCTTGTGGGGCAATTTTTTTTCAATGCAGCTGAACTTCTCAGTGCAGTGAAGGGGGGAAAATTTAGCCAATAGGAAGCTGTTGCCGGGTGTCATTATCTGTGCAGGACTGGGAGCAAGGCCTAGTGGGGCCTGGTCCCAGGAGAGGCCTGCATGGGAGTGGAAAGCAGACACAGCCTACAATCCCCACAATGCTTAGTGAAAGTTGTTGCCAATCCGGGTCCAGGGACTGTGTGAAGAGACTGAGACTTAAGCTTTGAGGGCTGAAAAACTGTGTTCTTTTCTCTTCTGCGGTCTTGTCTCTCACAGAGTTAAAACTGAGAAGACAGTCTGGTCTGAGGAAAAGATCCTTCACTTGGCATAAGAGGCTGGGGGCCTAGAACACTAACCCGTTAAGTGAAATAGGTAGTCACGTTAGGTTCGTGTTTATTTTGCCTTTAGACAGTGTTATATATTTTAAGCACCTTGTCTTTTTTTCAATGCCCCATTACTGTATTAATAAACCATTTATTTAATGTTCTCTGCCTGGTCATCATGCCTGTATTTCTCGGCTTAAAAGGGGCATTTTGGTTGGGCTTGGGAGGGTACTCTGGGCTTTCCCAAGGGACCCTAAGTCCAGAGTGGTGGCAGATGATAGTGGCAACCCACAGGGGGTCATGACACCAGGATAAATCTCTACCCTGCAAGTTGTCAACCACGTCAGATGACAGTTGTCAGCTGCTGCAAGCGAATCACTTCTGCCAGTCAAAGCAACAACTCTGATAACAAGTCAGCAGCTGGGGGCGATGACTTCTGTAGTCTCTCTCTCTCTCTCTCAATAGTCAATAGTCAAGAAAGCTAACATGTAGGAAGAAAAACTCTCCTAAAGGAGACCAGTTTCTTGACACAGAGTTAGACGGTATCCTAGAGGTCACCTACTCCAACCCCCTTGCTCAGTGCGGGAATGAGTCAACGACAGCACCCCACTCCGCTTAAAGGAGTGCACGCCTTTAAAAATGTTTCTGAGTGATTGGAAAAAGCATTTACAGCAGACATTCTTGTGGGGCTGTGCCTTTAAGGAAGGGGGGCGGAGCCCCCAAAAGCCCCACCACAGCTACGGGCCCGATGCCCTGACTTGGCTCACCCAGGCTAGCCCAGTCTCGGAGGCTAAGCAGGGTCAGCCCTGGTTAGTATTTGGACAGGAGACAACAAAGGAAGTCTAGGGGCCCTATGCAGATGCAAACCGCCTCCGAAGGTCTCTTGCCTTGAAAATCCTACGGGGCTCCCAGAAGACAGCTGTGACTTGACAGCACTTTTGAATACCACCAAAGCGACTGTCCTCCCTTCTGCAGTTCCATGGACTTTCCATGGACATGTCTGGGATAAAAGGATATTATAGCTTTGGAAAAAGTGCAGAAAAGGGCAACTCGAATGATAAAAGGGTTGGAACACTTTCCCTATGAGGAAAGATTAAGGCGCTTAGGGCTCTTTAGCTTGGAGAAAAGACGACTGAGGGGTGACGTGATTGAGGTTTATAAGATTATGCATGGGAAAGAGCAGGCAGGGCACGCGG